CCTTTCTCTTCAATCTGAGCTGGGTTTAGAGACTTGGTAACCACCAGACCGTGTGGAAACAAGGTTGTGGGACTTTTGAGACAACGTCATAAGAAGCCTTGCAGTTTCCAGCCAGGTCTCTTGGGATACTTTCTCTCGGAGCCATGAGCTACCATGTAGGAAGTCCCACTATTCTGAAGCCATCAGGCTGTGGGAAAACCCAAGCCTCATGGAGAAGCCACTTGCAGGGGCTCTAGTCAACAGGTCTGCTGAGCTCCCCAAATGGGATCTCCAGTGCTCAGCTCACCCCGTGAGTATCAGAGATGAACTGCCCAGCTGAGCCCTTTCCAACTTCCTGACAGACAGAATCATGAACAAAATAAAATGGTTGTTCTAGGATTGTTAGTTTCGGTGTAGCTTGTTATGCACCGATAACCAGAACCTGATCAAAAGTGTTTGTTGAATGAATGAAGGATTCATTGGCAGCAGTGTGCTGATGGTGTCACTGCCCTGTTCAAGAGCGCTCAACGGCTCCCTATTGCTGGAAAAATAATGTTTAGTGCCTTTAGTTGGCATTCAAGGTCCTCCATAATTTGGTGTCAGCCTGCTTTTCAGACCTTCCCAGATATGTTTCCAACATCATCTCTTTTTACCTCTTTCTCCATCCAAATGTCCTTTCTACCCACATTCCCACTTCAGAACATCAACATTTAACTTGTCCTTTGAGACTTTTGTCAGATGCCTTCTCCGGCTGCCCAGTCGAGCAGTGAGCCCTCCCCCTTCCGTCCCTAGTTTGTTTGATGTTTTTTAACTCTTCTTCCTTCATTTACCCTGCTCTTCATTTCTTACCCCTCCTCGTGTGTGTGTGTGTGTGTGTGTGTGTGTGTGTGTAGGGGGAGGTCAGGGAGTGGGCCCAGGACATAAGGAGACATACAAACATGTTGTGGGTGGCCTACCAGGCATGAATCCCTACAGAGCTTAAGTTGGAACTTGCCAGCTCATCATCTGGCACATTATGTCTCCCAAGCTAGGTGTTCACATCCCTGAAGGGAGGAAGTGTATTTAGAAGAAGCACAGGCTTTGGAGTCAGCTCAGATTTTAGATCATAATTATGTCACTAACTGTGTGGCTTTGGGCAAGATGCATAAACTCTCTGAGCTCAGTTTCCTTATTTGGAAACTAGAGACCCAATCAGAACGTGTGCAAAGGCCCAGGCCTGTGCTTGGCTCATCACAGGCCATTAACCACTGCTTGCGGAGTAGACACAGCAGAACAGAACTTCCTGATGCTCAATTGTTATTACGTTAATTGTGGAGAGAACTCTCCCGCATCAAAAATAAACACATTTTTAAAAATTTTAAAAATTTCCAAAAGGAGCAAAGAACAAAGAACAAGAGAAGAGTGAAAAGGCACAGCAGAGGCCACGTGGCCAAGCCCAACTATATTAATCCGTGTGATCAGCCTGCCCCACTGGGGTCTCAGTCTTCTCATCTGTAAATTGAGCGGTGGGCACTGGAATCTAAGCTCCCCTCCAGCGCTGACATTCCAAGAGCATTAAAGAAAAAGGATGAATCACCCCTTCAAAATACCAATATGGGTTGGGCCCTCCCCCTGCTGTCCCCATCCAGCACAGCTAAGAGCTCTTAATACACAGCCAGCTTCCTCCTGCAGCTGCCACCAAACTTCAACCCCCTTTCCCAGGGGTCTCAGAAGCAAGACTGATAATGGACCCCTGGCCTTCTCCATCTCAACAGGGAACCAGATCCCGTTCCCAGACTCTGGGGGCCAGAGGGCCCTCCCCTGAGGGTGCTGGCTTTCCGTGGACATTTGGCTTGGGTATACTTGTGTACGAAGTGTGGGGAGTGTTGGAACGGTGGAAGGAAGGAATAAAGGGAAGAGATGAAGATAGAGGGCTGGTGATTGATTTCCTGCGATCATCGCGGGAGGGCTGGAGTGGTGGAAACCTTGCCATTCTCTTCCAGGATTTTGAAAAAGTGGATGTGTCTGTATTCGTAATGGTTCTAAGTCTCCATCCTGGGGAGGCAGGGTGCCCCAGCAGCTGCATAAATTCATAAGCACAGGCTGTCAAAGCCACAGAAGACACCAAGATCAATTTTCCTCCTTACAGGAGATAGACACTAGGTGACCACAGAGGACAATTTTCTTGCCTCTCTGCCCAGAGCTCGCTACTCCTTTCCGCGTCGAGGCTATTATTAGTATTATCAACATTAATAATAATGGAGACGTAACCGGCTGTGCATTAGTCACAATGTTCCAGGAGCCCGCACCTCCTTCGTTCTCTTCTGGGACTGCCTGGATCCTGCTGGGTCCTCTTCTCCGCGTCCGGAGCGGCTTGGGGCCCTGCCCTTTGGTCTGTCTGTGCGGTGGTCTGTCTCTTGCCCGTCACGTCTGCAGTAGCCCGGGTCCTCCTAGCTCACACCGGCTCCGGCTCTGAAAGCCGAGAAGCTCGCCGGCTGCGAGCGGGTTTTCCAAGTGGGCAGGGGTGGGGAGGAGGGGCGCGGGCGGGCGAGCGGGCGGAGGGAGGAGGGGGTGTCGCGGAGGGGAAGACCTCGCATTGTAATCCAATGACATTGCCAACGTGGGGGTGGGGGCGCTGGCCTCCGCGCGCTCTCCGAGTTTTGGCTGCCCGCCCAGCTGGGAATAACTCTCTTCGCATAATTCGCGTGTTTACCAGGCATGAAAATTCTTGCTTTCGGCTCCCCCCCCACCCCACCGCCCCGTAAGCCCCCTCCCCTTCCCCCTCCCCACCACCTCCGCCCCTCGCGAGTGTCTAAAAAAATATTGGCCCGGGGCACAGAAAGTTTTGCATAAATTCATCAGTGATGAATGGCTGATTTTAACGTTATTTGGGTATTTGTCAGAACTTAACAAATATACATGGGGACGGCGGTTCATAAACTTAAACATCTCAATATCCCCTTTCTTCTGGAAATAAATTACGTTTGTTTGCCGGGCTTGGAGTCTTAAGGTAGCCGACATTAGGAATATTTTAAAAGCCATCATCCATCGAGCATGTCTCCCAGGCGCCAGGAAGATTAAATGAAAGAATCATAAGATGGAGGTCTTTAACTTTTAATCCTTTTACAATGAAGCCTCAGATAGTCGCGGGGGCAGGGTGCCCTCTCTGGGGGGAATAATGCCGTTATTCCTCGGCTCTCAGTTAATGAATACCCTAACGTCTGTCCCACGGCTGACGGAGGCAGCGCCGGGGAGGGGGCTCCGGCTCCCGGGCCAGGCTATTGAAATGAGGAGCCACCGAGGCTGCGTCGGGAGGGAAGAAAGCGCCCGGCTGGAGGGACTGGGCGGGCGGGGCCGGGGGCATTGAGACTGCGCTGGGGACCCGGCGCAGGTTTGAAATAATTAGCATAGATTCGCCGGGACTCCGGCCCCGAGGTGGGGGTTGGGGGGGGAGGGATGCCGGGAGGGAGGCGCGGGGAGGTGGCAGGGGGGTGGGGAGGGAGCAAAGGAGAGCGACTTTGGAGTCCAAGATAAATAAAGGGAGCGCTGAGCAGTGTCAGGAAGCCGGCCCACGTGGAGCTGCGCGGATGGGCGCCACCGCGGACTGAGGCGGAGGGACGCACGCGAGTCGAGCGCCAGCCCCAAGAAGTTGGCTTTTTAAGGGGTGGGGTGGGGGTGATATTTTGCACGTCCCTTAAGGGGTAACACGTCTTCTGCCTCTCTCTAACCCAAAAACTCAAAGATCCCGATTCTGAGAACTCCTCCCTCCCCACCCCTAAACGGAGTAGGTGTCCAAAGCGGGGGCGCACCCCGTTCCCAACTGCAGATCCCTGTGGTGGCGTTTTTCACCCAAATTCAGACCCCTCCGAAATCCTGACCATCAGAGTCCTCCTTAGGTCCTGGGGCACGGAGTGGGGGGGGGGGCGAGGAGGCGAGTGTCAAATCACCCAGCTGTCCCCAGCAATTCCAGCTGAGGGCCTGGGATTTTAGGGGCTCAGACCTGCAAGATCCCAGAGCCTGAGTGTTGATTCCAAAGGACTGGATCACTTCAGCTTGCATCACCGCAGCTTCCAGGCGTGCAAAGGGTTAACATGGGCTGGTTATTGATGGGGGGGCGGTGCGAGGCGGGAGGGGTGGCGGGATCTGGGTGGGCGCACTCTGATCTCTCCCCCCCCATTCCTCGGGGGTCAAGTTTCAGCGGCACTCCGCCCCCAGGGTAGGTGTGAAAGACACGTGTCCCCATTGTGAAGGGCCTGTCAGGCAGGACAAAGCGGCCGCCCACCCTCCCCCCCATCCCCCCCCGCCCCTCGGCCCAGCCTGGGGTCAGCTCCAGGGGGCCGGCTGGGTGTCGAGGTCAGGACGGGCCCGAGCTTCGGTGACATAGGGAGAAAAAGCTGGGAGACTGGGCGGAGGCCACGTGATGCTCGAGTGAGGGGTTTGAGAATAACCCGCCCCCCCCAATGAAAAACTGAGCGGTCACCTCCATCACACCAGAAGAGGGGATGAGCCCCTTCTCCCAACAGGCATCGTAAGCACAGCGGCACCCCTACCCGCCCCCTCCAGCCCCCACACCCCCCATCAATCACCAACACAGAGAATCGCAGTGTCGAGCGCAGTCGATTTTAGTGGTTTTCTTTAATCCTGCTCTGCACTTCTTTCTCATTTACTACACGGGATATTATAAAGAATAAATAGCAGATACTCTTAATTTACAATGATTAGTCATTCCATTTGTTCTCTATATTTACAATAACTGTAAAATAACATTGAACTCTATAGCTTCTTCGAGGTCCAAGGAAAACCAAAACACTTTCCGAAGAATGGAAAATAGCTTTTTAAAAGTCCTTCTACAAAAGTTCTCCCCTCTCTTTGTACTTTAAGAAAAAATAACTTTCCCCCCCTGCTTCGCCATGCGAAGGGCACTGGAATATAAATAGCAGGTTAACATTATTAGCGACAACCAGAATAAGTCTCTCTTTGCTCTGTTCTTTTTTTTCCTTTTGCTATTTTTTTTTTTTAAAAATACAGTAGAAGCCGGTAACTTTTAACGTATAATACTGACCTTTTAATAAGTAAATTAAAACTGGGACCGTATATACACACACATATACATTCCTACACAGTTAAACAGTGCATTACATGAACCAGAAAGCTAGGTCTCTGTAGCCAGAAAAAAAAAAAAAAAAAAAAAAAAAGTTCATTGAATCCCCTCGCGAGAGGGTGGTGGAACTGGTTGGAGACGGTGCGGGGGGCGGGGGGAGGGCGTCGGTGGGGTTCCATCAATTGTCCGGGTGCGGGAAGGGGACCCCGAGTTCTAGCATGAGCACTTGCACTCGGAAATGATGGGGTACTGGATGGGAATCCAGCCGCAGCGCTGGCCCCCGCGCCGCTGACAGCGCCACCGCAGCACCGTGAGGTGCACGGACTTGGACGGCTTGCACACCATGCCCTCGGGCACGGAGCACGAGCGCTTACTGAAGCAGCTGCCCACCTTCACGTAGCGCGGCCAAAAGCGGCTGCCCAGGTCGTTCCACGCGTACAACACCGGGCAGAAGGTCTGCGACCACAGCCACATCTGTAACTTCCTCCGCAGCTTCTTGCTCAGGCGCTGCTTCTTGCCCGGGGCCAAGCCCTCGGAGAACTCCAGCCCTTTGATCTCGCTCGGCATGGCCCCCGACGGCCGCTGCCGCAGCAGCTGGTCCAGCTCGGCCAGGTCCTCGGCGCCCCCGGCCGCCCCCCCGCCCCCGCCGGGCCGGTCCTCGGGGGGCGAGGTGGCCATGAAGCCCGGGTCGTAGTGGCCCCCGAGCAGCGAGCGCAACAGCGTCTCGTTCAGATCCTTCTCTTTGGGGTCAAAGATAGGGTCCGGGTGTTCGATGAGGTCCACCAGGGGCAGGTTGTCGCTGGGAGCCGGGCGGATGTGGAGATAGTGCTGGCCTCCGGCCGGTGCCGCCCGCAGCCCCAGGACCACCACCAGGGCGTAGAGGGTGACCCCCAGGCTGGGGCAGCGCTCCATGCCTCCGGCGCGCGCCCGGGGCTGCTGCTTCGTCCCGCGTCCCCCGAGGAGAGCACGCCGAGCCCGCGGCGCCGCCGCGCTCCCCCGTCTCTCCGGAGGCGGCTCACCCGAGGCGGGGCAGGCGCAGGGCCGGCAGCATGAGTCGCCGGGAGAGCCCTTCGCGCAGCGCCGGCTCCCACCGGGGCGGAAAGAAGGCACACAAGTTGGCCGCAACTCCTCTCCCGGGTCTATTCGGGCAGGCGGCCGCGGCGGGGCATCCGAAATTACTCCAGGGCGACGGCGGGCGCGGGGGGCGCCGGCTCCTCGCTGCCTTCCCGGGCCGGCGGCGGTGCAGGGCGCGTGGACGAGCCGCTCTCCCCTCCTCCTCCTCTCGCTGCTCGTCGTCCTGCCGCTCTGTGCAGCGCCGCTGGCCCAGCGGGTCCTAGGGGCACTTCCCTCCGCCTGCTCGGGGCTCCGCGGCCGGCTCTGCCCGGCGGACTCCAGCGGCGGCGGCGGCGGCGGCGTCCGCGCACGTTGGCACCGGTTTGTCTGTCTCGCAGGGTCCAAGCCTTTAAATTTCCTGCACTTTCAGCTCCATCACCATGGAAACCACTGACTCTCTCGGCGTTGCCCCCTCCCCCTTCTTCCCCCCAAACAACAACCCCACCCCCCACTTCTCCACCCCCGAGGAGCTGGAGCGGCACAGGCTCCGGGGGGAAGCCGCCTGCACTCGCCGCGGCGGCGGCCTCGGCAGCGCCCAGGGCTGTGCCCCGCCGGACCCAGATGCCCCGGGAAGCCGACAGTCC